AAACTCCGTCTCAAAAAAAAAAAAAAAAATAATAATAATAATAATAAAAACAACCTATTAACACAGTGTCTGACACATAGTAAGTGCTCAATATTAATGTTCAACAAAATAGTAACTATTTCCATGATGAAGGTTCCCAAGGGAATAAATTATCCTTAGAGTTTTATTTGATATTTCACCTTTATTCTATTCCCAGTAGTTGACTGGGATCTTCCTCTTCAGTTTAGGAATGAAATTCAGACTCCATGGCTTCTATGAGTGGAGGGAAGGCATGCCTAGATCAGAACAATCTGCCTCCCTACTCCAGCACATCAAAGGAAAGTAGCAGCTTTGGGGATCTAAAGCTCTTGGATCTTTCAGGACCAATGAGATGGAAACCATCTCTGTGGGGAGATGCTACCAGTCATGGGAGGCTTTTGGAAGGTTCAGTAAGGTGAGCTTTCCCAGGAGACTTGGGCTCCCAAAGGAGGGGCAAGAAGAGTATGTTGAAACTGACAAGGCAATGCCAATCTTGTCTGTAGTGTGCTTCCCATGGCTGGCACACTGAGTCCTACAGAGGTCCTCTTTTATATGTCAGAAGGACAGGACCCCATAGAGTGTGCCATGCACCCAGTACAACATCAGGGAGGATAAGGCAGCTTCTCTCTGACCTTTTGGGTCTGCCCAAAGGAAGCCATTCACAAAACTCATGAGTAGCACCTTTCAAGAAACATATCTGGATTTGTTTCAGCATCTTTGTGTAGGGGTTGACTACACAATCTTAAATAAGAAGCAGTGTGCTCAAGAACTCTTTCACAAACACTCTTACACAAAGGTTCATAGCAGCATTAGTCATAATAGCCAAGAAGCAGACACAATCCAAATGAACATCAACTGATGAATGGATAAGTAAAACGTGGTGTATTCATACAATGCAATATTATTTGGCTAAACAGAAATGAAGTAGTGACACATGCTATGACATGAATTGAAAACATCATGCTGAGTGAAACAAGCTAGTCACAAAAGACCACATACTGTATAATTCCACTTATATGAAGTATCCAGAATAGGCAAATCCATAGAAACAGAAAATAGTTTAGTGGTTGCTGAGGTCTGAAAGGGATGGAAGATTGAGGAAGAACAGCTAAGAGGTTTGGGGTTTCTTTGGGGGGAGTGAAAATGTTCTAAAATTGTGGTGGTCATTGTACAACCTGTAAATATACTAAAAGCCACTGAATTGTACACTTTAAGTGGGCAAATTGTATAGCATGTAAATTAAATCTCAATAAAATTTAAAAAAAAAACAAACAAAAGAAGAAACTATTCTTGTCTTCCTGGAAGAGGACAGGGGAGAGAGGGAGGTTCCATTTTCACTGTTTTTTAAATCTTTTGAAATTTGTACCATAGGTTTCTATTATATGTTCAAAATATTATACATATATATATTTAAATTTTCTTTTCTTTTTTCTTTCTTTCTTTCTCTCTTTTTTTTTTTTTTTTTTTTTTTTTTTTTTTTTTTTTGAGACAGAGTTTCGCTCTTGTTGCCCAGGCTGGAATGCAGTGGTGTGATCTCCGCTCACTGCAAACTCCACCTCTTAGGTTCAAGCAATTCTCCTGCCTCAGCCTCCTGAGTAGCTGGGATTACAGGCATGCACCACCACACCCGGCTAATTTTGTATTTTTAGTAGAGACAGGGTTTCTCCATGTTGGTCAGGCTGGTCTTAAACTCCTGACCTCAGGTGATCCACTTGCCTCAGCCTCCCAAAGTGCTGGGATTACAGGCGTGGGCCGCCGCACCTGGCCATATATTTTTAATTTTTTAAAGAAGCAGTGTAATGTTGCTTTGGAGTCAGATAAACTAGTTGAAATCTTGCTTTGAATTCTGGTTAGGTGACTTTTGTAATTTGTTTTTATCTAACTAATCTAAGTTTTCATAAAATTAATATATTAATAGTCCCCATACCAAAGAAATGGGAGGATTATATGCAACAGTCTACGTAAAAAACCTAATCTACTGCCGGGCGCAGTGGTTCAAGCCTGTAATCCCTGCACTTTGGGAGGCCGAGGTGGGTGGATCACGAGGTCAAGAGATCGAGACCATCCTGGTCAACATGGTGAAACCCCATCTCTACTAAAAATACAAAACATTAGCTGGGCATGGTGGCGTGTGCCTGTAATCCCAGCTACTCAGGAGGTTGAGGCAGGAGAATTGCCTGAACCCAGGAGGCGGAGGTTGCGGTGAGCCGAGATTGCGCCATTGCACTCCAGCCTGGGTAACAAGAGTGAAACTCTGTCTCAAAAAAAAAAAAAAAAAAAAAAAAAAAAAAAACAAAAAAAAAAAAAAAAAAAAAAAAAAAAAAAAAAACAACCTAACCTAGGACCTGACACTGGCATACAGTAAGCATGGAACAAATGGGTCTCAGAATAATGAAATAGGAAACATATGCATCCCTTCCACTGCAGCTCAAATGTACTCAGAAATTCTCTTCAGTCCATACCCACAGGAGCTGACTTTGCTACGAATAAAAACAGTATTGTCCCCTATAAAGGTATACCAGTATGTGTCTACCAAGACAGAACTCACCCACCCATGCCATGTATACTAAAGGAGAGCCCTGATGAGGTCACCAGTCTGTCTGGCTGTGATGTCAAGAAATGCTGAGACTGCAGCCTGCTAGAGATTCTCCAGTGGGGCTGGGGTTCAGGAGGGAAGAAGGCCAACTCCTTTTGTCCAGAGGGAAATTGTACTCCATCCAGGTGGCTGGGTAGAGGAAAACTCAGCTTCTGAAGACCCAATAGTTTATGTTAGTCAAAAACATGTTACATATCTCAGAAAAGCATTTTTCTAACCAAATGATTCATTTCAAGATTCTTGAGAAGAGTGGCTCTGTAGGACACTTAAGACTACAATTAATAAGACTGCAAGGGAGATTCATAAAGAAATTTCAAAAATCTCTAGAAAACTCCATGTGAAATCTCAGGATTCCAGCCAAGGACCTTAGTTTAAAAGTGCTCTCCTCTAGAATTACTGAGAGGCTTTTGCAACGTAGCAAGTCAATATCACTCTAAGGAGATGGGTATAGATGTCCCTGCCCAGGAAGGGATGACTTACTTTGAAGCTGTACCTGACAATGTTCTGGGGTGCATGTGGGTTGTTGGCTGTCAAAATCCGAGTGAATTCCTCCTTTAACTCCTGAGGGAAAGAAATACCAAGAGGGTCATAGGTGAAGGCCACCCAACCCCATCTGAGGCTTACAGGATCCCCCAGAGTATCAGCAGACATTTCACATCCAAGTTCTGGGCAAGCTCCTAATCGTGTACTATGGAAGAACACATCTCTGAACCTGAAAGACGTACAAGGAGCAAGGATAAGAGGCTACTCACTCACCGCATCGGTCAACTCCAGCTGGTCAGGGGGTCTAACTGTGGCTTTGGACTGGGCCCATTCATCTGTACCTTCTCCCACTTCAGTCCCTGAATCTTCATCCTAGACAAAAACCTCACATGAGGCTGGGAGTGTCTGATCTAATTAGACAAGCAAGCAGGAGGCCTGTTTATTCACAAACAATCCCAGAAGCCAAGCTCTGTCCCTTGTATGAAGAATACAAAATGTACAACATATCACTCATGAAAGAGTCCAAAAGAACTGCTCAGGCCAGAGTTCTCATTGTCTGGAAGATCCTGGCCACCTCTGCCTTGGGGGTCAGGGTAGCTGGAACTTGGAATGTTGTTGGTAGGCCTTTGGCCCCAGTAGTGGGACCAGAAGAACTGGTTCCTCCCTACTGCCTTCTGTAAAGCCCAGAAGCTAATGTCTAGGACCAACAGCCAAAGGCAGGGCTTTATGCAAAGTGGTTTAGACATCAAGAAAGGATGATAAGTTGTTATTCAACTTTAGTTTATATTTTATCTTCCCATCTGCTACCTTAAGGTTACCCAAGACTCTCTGTACTTAGTTACCTTAAGTCCCACAGTCCCATTAGATCCTTGGAGCAAAAAAATCAAGAACTAGAAGGTTTGCCTTTCCCTGGTAGATACTTAAACATCTTGCCAAAGTGGCCCATGACATATTTTTTTAAATGTTCACCCTTACTAACAAAATTATACAAAATAAAACAATATTTTTTTTAACTATAAAACTGGCAAACTAGAAAACAACCAAAGCTAATATCCAGCATTCATGAGGCTGTGGGAAAATGAGCACTCACAAATTAGTACCTTTCTAAAACTCAATTTGAAAATATTTATCAAAGCCTAATAACTGTTTATACTCTCTGACCCAAATTTGTACATGTAGGAATTTATATTAAGGAATATGCCCAAAGATTTAGGTGCATTGATGTTTGTTAGATGATTGCTAATAACAGTGAAAAAAGAAACATTTATTTATTTATTTATTTGAGATAGAGTCTTGCTTTGTCACACCCAAGCTGCAGTGCAGTGGCACGATCTCAACTCACTACAACCTCCACCTCCTGGGTTCAAGCAATTCCCTTACCTCAGCCTCCCAAGCAGCTGGGACCACAGACATGCACCACCATGCCCGGCTAATTTTTGTATTTTAGTAGAGATGGGGTTTCACTATGTTGGCCAGGCTGGTTTTGAACTCCTGACCTCAAGTGATCTGCCTGCTTCAAATTCTCAAAGTGCTGGGATTACAGGCATGAGCCACCGCATTCAGCCAAAAAAGGAAACGTCTAAATGTCCAACAATGAGGCATGGTTGAACAAATTATGGTACAGTCTTAAGGAACATATGGTAAAATATTATGCAGTAATTTCAAATGACGCTATAAAAGTATATTTATTAGCAATGGAAGGTACTCTAAATATTTTATGTGAAAAACATGTTATAAAATAACATATACAGTTCTGTTCCATTTAAAAATAAGTATATTTCTCCCCCTTATTCCTCCAAAAGAAAAATAATAAATAAATACATGTAATTTTATATATGCACAAAAATATCTAAGAGGATGTAACATCACATGTTAACTAAAGTTATTATAGGATGGTAGGTTTAGGGTGATTTTAATATTCTTTTAGTTCATTTGCATTTTCTAAAAACATACAGATAATATTTTCAACAGAAAAAAAAACATTATTAGCATCTTGCTGAAAGATGATGATAGTCTCAGCACTTACTTTCTTCCTGGTTCCTCTGCCTATGCTGATGCTCTAAATGAAGAACAGAAAACAGAAGATAGGTCATAAGCAAATTGACATGGAAATATCATAAACAGTATTGCAGGGAGGCTCCTGCCCAGGAATCTCACAGTCAAAGGACGCTGAGCCTTCCCAAGTTTCAGAAACAGTCTCAGTGACAATTTTAGCCCAGCCAGAGAGGTCCTATATCTGAGGCAAGCCGGTTTCAGCATTAGTGGGAATGACCCATGAAGAGCATGACCAAGTAACTTAGCACTGGAATTTCTTATTTGCAACTAATTCAACAAATATTTTTAAAGCATATTCTAAGTGTTCATCTCTGTACCAGGCAATAAAGGGATTTCAAAAACAGTTTATATTCATAAACACTTTTGGGGATGAATATACGCTCTTCATGAGCAGACACTTTGTTTTTTACACTGCTGCACAAAGACCCAGCATCTAGAACAATGCTCTGAACATAGTAGGTATTCAAAATACTTACTGAATAGATAAATGAATGCCATCAAAACCCATTAGTCATTATAACCCTGGAAAAAGTGTTTTTCCCTATAATCTTCAGATTCCTCATCTGTAAAATGCATAGGATTGGATATGATAACCTTCCTGTTCTAACATGCTTAAATTTGATGTTCTCAAGAGAAACATGCTCAAATCAATTTGATGAACATTAGTGGAGTGCCTAATTGTGTGTTAGGCACTGACCTAAGCAGTGGGAGGAAGAAAGATGAGGTCCCTGCCCCAATTTGCTCAAGGTCCGTGGAGGACGGATGAGTGTGATCAATGCTCATCACTCACTCACTCACTCAGCATATGTTCCTTTGAAAGTCAGTTCTGTGCCAGCAACAGAGATACGTGTGCACAGGGTATGGTGGAAGTACGTGGGTCACCTACCCAGCCTGGGGTACAGAGAAAAGGCTTACAGAGGTGACCGTTTCTTCTTCTTTCTTCTTTTCTTCTTCTTTCTTCTTTTCTTCTTCTCCTTCTCCTCCTCCTCCTCCTCCTCCTCCTCCTCCTCCTTCTTCTTCCTTCTTCTTCTTCTCCTTCTCCTTCTCTTCTTTCCCCCTCCCCCTCCCCCTCCCCCTCCTCCTCTTCTTCTTCTTCTTCCTTCTTCCTTTTTTTTTCTTGAGACAGAGTTTCCCTTTTGCCACCCAGGCTGGAGTGCAATGGTGCAGGCTTGGCTCACTGCAACCTCTGCCTCCCAGGTTCAAAGATTCTCCTGCTTCGGCCTCCCAAGTAGCTGGGATTACAGGCATGCACCACCACATGCAGCTATTTTTTTAATATTTTTTATTGTATTATTATTATTTGAGATGGAGTTTTCGCTCTTTTCCCCAGGCTGGAGTGCAATAGTGCAATCTTGGGTCACTGCAAACTCCGCCTTTCTGTTTCAAGTGATTCTCCCGCCTGAGCCTCCTGAGAAGCTGGGATTACAGGCATCTGCTACCATACCTGGCTAATTTTTGTATTTTTAGTAGAGATGGGGTTTCACCATGTTGGCCAGGCTGGTCTTGAACTCCTGACCTCGTGATCCATCCACCTTGGCCTCCCAGTGTTTGGATTACAGTCATGAGCCACCACACCCACCCTATTTTTTATATTTTTAGTAGAGACAGGGTTTCAGCATGTTGGCCAGGCTGGTCTCAAACTCCTGACATTAGGTGATCCACCCACCTTGGCCTCCCAACATGTTGGGATTACAGGCATCAGCCACTGCACCCAGCCAGAGATGACAATTCCTTAACTGGGTGTCAAAGGACAAGTATGCATTGTCTAGGTGGAGAAAACGTTTTTCAGAAGGAGAAAATATCATGTACAAAGTTGGCTGAGTGCGGTGGCTCATGCTTGTAATCCCAGCACTTTGGGAGGCCGAGGTGGGCAGCTCATCTGAGGTCAGGAGTTCGAGACCAGCCTGACCAACATGGTGAAACCCTGTCTCTACTAAAAATACAAAAATTAATCGAGTGTGGTAGCACGCACCTGTAATCCCAGCTACTCGGGAGCCTGAGGCAGGAGAATTGCTTGAATCCAGGAGGGAGAGGTTGCAGTGAGCTGAGATCATTCCAGTGCACTCCAGCCTGGGCAACAGAGTGAGACTCCATCAGAAAGGAAGGAAGGAAGGGAGGGATGGTAGGAGGGAGGGAGAGAAAGCTAGAGAGAAAGAAAGAAAGAAAGTTAGTTAGTTCTACCAAAGAAACCAACAAAAATCCCACAGTATATATATAGAATAAATAGGTGTTTCAGATGATCAAGTATGAGGGAGATCAGGGGACTGGAGACATGAGGGAGGGGCTCTTGGAAGGAGCAGGCCTAGCTCACAGAAGGAGGGGTCTCTGCAGCAGAGGAGCCAAAGGGGACACATTGGTGGCAGCATGGCACATTGGAAAGGAACCTCTGGTTCCAGCTCTGTCACTGACCACCTGTGTGATCTTGGAGGACCCTCTGGGTCTTGGTTTCCCAAATGCAAAGAGAGGGAGTTAGACTAGATGGGGTCTTACACCTCTTGCATGATAGGGTCTTTGGGAGAGGGTTGGAGGGTGGAAGCGAGGAAAGGGATTCTAGGGAAAGAGAAAAGCATGCCTCAGCTTGGGCTGGGATTATTGCTGGTAGAGCAGGCAGCAGGATTCAGAGTTCTGCCAGGTTGCCAGGGTTTCCAACGATAGGCACGTTCTCAAAGCCTAAGCCATATGAGCCAAAGAGCTACTTTCCTTTGAAGAGCTTTTGATCCATAAGGTCATGGGATAGAAGCGTCACAATGTGTAACAACATTTAGGCTCACAATATAGCAGAGAAAGGCCAATCCCAACCCAAACCACAAGACTTAAATAGAAAATGAGATCCAGTTACCGCTGCCCCCTGTAAATATGTCTGTAAAACATTTATCTGGCAATAAAAGAACTGACAAGGCAATTTGAGTGTAATTGTTTTTGGCAGTTGGAAATATTTCAATTAACACACTATAAAAGCCACACTATAATAAATGCAAAACAGGCCAGTGAAATCAGCTACAGCCCTGACTTCCCAACCATGGCAAAGGAGATTGAATGTCAGGCTGCCACTTTGGCCCCTTGGTCTTGCAGAATGAGAAGCCTGAGACAGACAACCCTGAATTCCTGAAAGGCTTTTGATGGTTCCTCCTAGAAGCTATCAAGCCACAGAAGAAAATTTCAAACTCTTCCCCAAGCCCTCAAAACTCTATCATCTGGCCCCAAGCCTCCATTCCAGCCTGTTCTCCTACCACCGTGTGCTGGGACTCCCAGGTGCAGTCAGCAAGTCCCTGAGCCTGGCCTGTGTTTTCCCACTTCTCCACCTTTGCTGTTATCATTCCTCCGCCAGGAATGTCATCTTCCCCTTCCCTCTCCCTGCCCCCACTACCTCTGCCTAACAAAATTCTACCCAACTAGCCTCTGCTAGTTCTTCATCTAACTTTTCCTTTTCCACCTTTCTCCTACCTCCCTCTACTCTTCCTTTCCTCACTTTAAGCGAGGCTACCCTCCATGTTCCATCACAAGTACTGAATGATCAAATGTATCTTCAAATAGACACTCTGTTACAGTCTCTGGGTCGTGTCTGAAAAGAAGCATAACACTGCAGTATACATAGGAGGCAGCTTGACATTCTTAAGCTATTGACTAAAGAAAGTCCTCTTCTCTTGGCTAGGTCATTCCATTTGGCCAAGGGAAGATGTCTATGAAAGAGCGAGGCAGGAAGAGGAAATCCTCCCAGCCCACCATGGCAGACAATGTAGTCCTGGTGATCAACGGGATAACAGATATCCCAGCCTGAACTCCTTCACAGCAGAGCATTTTTCTATCCTTATTGCTGTGGATTTCAGTGTGAGCACTGTGAGAGCAGGAACTGAGTCTTATTTTGGATCACTAGCACAGAGGCTAGCACTTGGATGGAAGTCACTGCCCTTATAAAAGTCACCAGTCACAACTCAGCTGCCTAGTGGTCACTTCTCAGTTCTCTTATAGGACCTGACATTGCTGAGGGCTCCCTCCCTCCTCCTTGAAACTTCTCCACCACCTTCTTTTCCATGTTACTGATCTCTCCAATGGCTCCTCAATATCCTTGACCTCTCCAGGGATATATGCTTGACCCTCTGGTCTTTCTATTCTACACCCTCCCCTTGGCTACTCTTATCCCCCACGCATAGCTTCATCTTCCATCTTCCACCTTATGATGAAGCTCAAATCTATTTATTATTATTCTTTCTTTTCCCTGAGACAGGATCTTGTGACCAGGCATGGTGGCTCATGTCTGCAATCCCAGCACTTGGGGAAGCTGAGAAAGGTGGATTACTTCAGGCAAGAAGTTGGAGACCAAACTGGCCAACATGGTGAAACCCCATCTCCACTAAAAATACAAAAATTAGTCGAGCATGGTAGTGTGTGCTACTCAGGAGGCTGAAGCAGGAGAATCACTTGAACCCAGGAGGCAGAGGTCACAGTGAGCTGAGACTTAAAAAAAGAGAGAGAGGGAGAGAGAGACAGAGACAGTATCTTGGTCTCCCCAAATCTATTTTTGTAACTTAGACTTCCCAGAACCTCATATTCAAATTAATGACAAAGTACTCAAACTCAATATCTATAAAACTGACCTGATTTCTTCACCCTAAACTGTCACTTCCTCCAGGATTCCCTCTCTCTCAAGTGCATTACCATTCATTTAGTCACCCAGGTTGGAAACTAGGAACCATTAAAGATGTTTGTCCATTCTTCACCCTCTCACTAGGATTATGTTTCAAAGCCTAACAATTCTAATTCTTTAATATCTTTCTTAACTATCTTTAATTCAGGCCCTTACTATTTTTTGCCTAACCACATTTGATCTCCCTAACTCCAGTTTCTCTCTACTCTAATAATTATATCATTATAATTATTTTCAGCTACTGAGCACTTACTCTGGCCCAGTCATTTACTAAGCTATTTATGTAAATTATTTCATTGAATCTTCACAACCACCCTGTGGAGTATGAGCTGTCATTATTTCTACCTTACGAGAAAACT